AGTTCACGAAGCACTCATTAACTAACAACACTGTGTAGCTATTTTCTGCGATATAACAAAAGCCTATGATCGCACATGGAGATATGGTATAGTAGAAAAGCTTCACTCCTGGGCTATTAATGGACAATTCCTAAAATTTATTCAAAATTTTTTTCAACTTAGAACATTTAAAGTACGATCAAATGGTACACTATCATCAACTCGAATCCAGGAAAATGGAGTCCCCCAGGGATCCGTGTTAAGTGTAACTTTATTTCTTGTTGCAATTAACGATATCTTAAAACAATGTCAACATCCAGTAAAAGCAAGACTATACGCAGACGATCTGATTATCCTACTAAGAGGAACAAATCTAGAATCTACCCAAAGAATCCTGCAAAGCGCATTAAATAATCTCCAGAAATGGTCTGACAAAACAGGACTCAGTTTCTCTAACGAAAAAACAAAATGCATGCTCTTCTCAAAAAAGCGAAAAGAGGATAATCCAAATATAATCGGAGGCTTCCACGGCCAGAGTCAGAATTATAGTTTATTCGTCTTCCGGGTTTGGACCGTGTCATATGTGAGTGACCCAAAAGTGGGTTCATCTCGACGTTTCGCTACAATTGTATGTAGCTTCTTCGGGAGAACAAAGAAAAAGAAATCAAAAGACAGGAAGATGGGTAGTTAGCAACGGTAACTCAGTTACTCAACGCAACCAGAGGCGAATACTAACTACCAAGATGGGCATTTGGTCACAGTAACTCAACTACTTAATGCAGCCAGAGGTGAAAACCAAATGCCAGGACAGGGATTCACGTCCAACAGCTCAGAACACTAACGCGTCGAGAGGCGGGGAGTGAATCCGCCTTCATTCACTCATTCATCCGATTCACTCGTCTTCGGATTCATCCGTCCAAAGACGACGGTTTATAATCTTTTTAAATAGGTTACAGGTTGACGAGGTTAGGGATATTGGTCTATAGAACTGGGGATCTGTTTTCGGTTTTTGGGGTTTAGGGATTGGCATAATATATAATTCTGACCAAGACTTTGGAAAATAGTGCTGAATCCACATTTGGTTCAAAACATTAAGGAGGTATATTCCAGCGTTTGTGCTTAGTTTTTGGAGAAAAATTATTGGTATATCATCTGGACCCGGAGAAGAGTTTTTTATGCCAAGCAATGCATCGTCCATTTCTTCAAGTGAAATTGGAGAGTTCATGTAGTCTTCCGTGTTCTCTGTGATCATTATCTCCTTCTGTTCATTTCTAAATTTAAATTGAAGAAAATTTGGAGAGTAGTTGTTAGTGCTGGAATTTTGTTCGTAAAGGTCTGCAAAAATTTCTGTGATTTCTTGTGTTGCGGTAATGAATTGATCATTATGTTTTAAGAAACTTATTTGGGCGTTTTGCTGTTTTCCAGATAGTTGACGAAATTTCCTCCATAATGCAGACAGGGGAGTAGAGTTGTTGATGGATGCCACGAAAGATTTCCAGTTTTGTTTTTTGGTTTGCTTAATTTGATATTGAGATTCAGCTCTTAGTTTTTTATATTCTATTTGATTTTGTGTAGTAGGACATCGTCTGAATTTGTTAAAAGCTCGCTTGTATTTTTTGATGGCTTCGTCACATTTAGTATTCTACCACGGTACTGGCGTGTGAGTTTTTAGAGTTTTAGTTTTTCCGACTGCTTTGTGGCCTGCTTCTAATATTACCTCAGAGAATTTTAGATAAGTTGAAAATATATTTGAGGTACTAGGGTCAGGAAGATATAGGAGTTTTGTCTATTTGGTCTGAGAAAAGTGTCCAATTTGGCTGGTCTAATTTCCATTTTGAGAGAGGAGTAGTTAAGGCGGTTTTAAAAGGACGGGTTATGAGAATAGGAAAGTAATCACTCCCGTATAAGTAGGGATGGACTTCCCAATTTAAAGATGTTTGTAGGATCGGATCGCACATGCTCAGGTCGATAACTGAGGATTCTCCTGTTTGTATATTAAATCTTGTGGGTTCCCCTGTATTCAAGATGTTTATATTGTTACTGTCAAGTAATTGTTCTAGTACTTTTCCTTTTAATGTTCGAAATTTGGATCCCCAGTAGGGGCTAAGACTATTAAAATCTCCTAAGAGTATACGGGGAGATGGGATCTGTTGAAGTAGTTCCTTGATTACGGCAGTTGAAAAATTTTCACTCGGTGGAATATAAATGTTGCATATTGAGATCTTTCTATTAATTGTGATTGCAACAGCTTCTAAGGATGTATTTAAAGGTATTAGTTCTGCTTCGTACATTTGGTTGATATAGACCACTTGCTTTATCTCTATTGGTCCTGTTTTTATACAGGCATTTAAAACCCTTTAACCTTGCATGCTAAGAATCTTTGAAATGAGTTTCTTGAAGGTAAATAACTGATGATGATTTTTGAGCAATTAACTTTTGTAACATTTCGCAACGGGTGTTGTACCCGTTGAGATGCCATTGTATTATACATACACCTGAATGTTAAGTACTTAAGTTTTCTTGAGATGATGAGAGTTCGCTGTCCATTGATGCAGATGTTCTGAAGAGTTGATGCTGTAATTTTCTGTTAATGTTTGTGATTTTTGTTTTCAACTTTTTTAAGCTTTGAGTGTACATAGTGTCCAGATTCTTAGGAAACCTGGTACATTGTCTGTATAGGTTTTAAGAAGGTTCAATATGTCTGCGTTGTGTGGGGCTGATTCAAAAAGATTTAAAGTTTGGTTATAGTTCAGTGTAAAATTGTTTTTATTGTCTTCAAACATTTGTTGTAATTGTTGCATTTCATCGTGAATGGATTTTTTCGGTTTTATTTTCTTATGTTTGGGTTTTTGAAATGTGGGTTGTTTGTGGAGGTCTTCATGCGGTGGTGTAGACTCTGACATTTGTCGTTTAATGGAAATCGTTGAAGTTTCTTGGGCTTCCGTTTCAGATGTTTTCATTGGTTCCGTATTCTGTTTATTTCGTTCTTCGGTATTTACATTGACATTTTGATTAACTGAAGATGCGCTTATGTTTTGACACGATTCATCATTAGACGCTTGAGTGTTGGCGGCTTCTGTTCATTGGGCGAAATTCTCTAATGAAGTTTGCTCGTTATGTGGTAGAAGTGGGCATACTACAGCTAAGTGACCTGATTGTTTACAAGAATAACATTTAAGGTTGTCGGTTGCTAAGAAAATTCTGTATGACGTATTGTCAAAATTTATTATGAAAGAAGCTGGTAATGTTGCATTATTTTCTAAAGGAGTAATATACGTTTGTTGGCGAAAACTGAGAATATGACTAAATGCTGGGCGAGACGCGTTTATTTTAAGAAAGTTGATAGGCGATAATAGATTTAGCTTTATTAGCTCTGCTTCTAAAATAGAATGTGATATGCTGGGGCATACATTGGATAAAACAATTCTTTGACTTGGAGTGATTAATTTGCGGGCAGTGAGAATTTGATTGTTGACTTTAATTGAACCATAATTTTTTAAGAAGTTATCTACTAGTTCTTTTGAGGATAAGTAAATGCATAACTAATATATAATAATAATAGAAAATATAGAAAATAATATCTTTAGGATTTACAATACTGCCCAAGGCTATTAGATAATCTTCAATTTTTACGTCGTCAATGGAAGTAAATAAGATGGCTTGCTGTTTATCGGGAAATTTGGATGATGTTTGATTTTTTGTTGTAATTGGTGCGTATGATTGGGAATTGTATTGAGTTGAATTACTAGGTATGGGAAGGTTCAGAGGAGCGTTAGGGACATGGTCCCCTGGATTTTTGTTATCCATTATTTAAACGCCCCATTAATAATTTAAATTGTGAGTTAGTGCGGTCCTGTTCACCTGACGAACTTATTTTAATATTTCAACTTATCAAAACTTCGAAAAATGATGGGTGTTTTTCGATTGACAATAAATGCTTAAATATATGTAAACAAACTTTGTTTACTTACTGGTTTTTGCAGATTCAACCGTTGATCTTAGATGAATTTGATTATAACACTTTATAATATTTTTTGTTTAATGAAAACTAATTAACTAAATACCTAATTTGTTTTACTTTTTTAAAATCTTAAAATAATCATCTTAAACTTCTCAAGAACAGTAATTCTATAACAATAAAGTATATTTACTTAATCTCTATAACAGATTCTGTTTGAAAAATAATATTATATTATATTATATTATATTATATTATATTATATTATATTATATTATATTATATTATATTATATTATATTATATTATATTTATTATATTATATTATATTATATTATATTATATTATATTATATTATATTATATTATATTATATTATATTATATTATATTATATTATATTATATTATATTATATTATATTATATTATATTATATTATATTATATTATATTATATTATATTATATTATATTATATTATATTATATTATATTATATTATATTATATTATATTATATTATATTATATTATATTATATTATATTATATTATATTATATTATATTATATTATATTATATTATATTATATTATATTATATTATATTATATTATATTGTATTATATTATATTATATTATATTATATTATATTATATTATATTATATTATATTTATATTATATTATATTATATTATATTATATTATATTATATTATATTATATTATATTATATTATATTATATTACATTATATTATATTATATTTTATTATATTATATTATATTATATTATATTATATTATATTATATTATGTTATATTATATTATATTATATTATATTATATTATATTATATTATATTATATTATATTATATTATATTATATTATATTATATTATATTATATTATATTATATTATATTATATTATATTATATTATATTATAATATATTATATTATATTATATTATATTATATATATTATATTATATTATATTATATTATATTATATTATATTATATTATATTATATTATATTATATTATATTATAATATAATATATTATATAATTACTAT